TTGGTACTTACATTAAACATAATAGGACCTTGATGCACGTCATTTTTTTCCCCGGATCAAGTCGAAATGGCCGACTGGCGGCCATTTTCTTAAAGAATTCAGTTCTGGATCCGTATCCAAGACATGTCTGGATTGAACAAGTTCAAACTTCACATACACATGGTGCATCATGTCACAAATAAATATGTGCATTTGTTTCATGATCCGCTTAACAATAGCTGAATGATGGCCATTTTAAGACCGAAAATGCATTAAAATCACGTATTTTCACAATTCCGGAACCAGATCTCAGTCATGCATGGATGGATTTTGTTCAGATTTAGTACAATGTGTTGTACATATGCAGGTGCATTTCGGTCATGATCTGCTTTGAATGTATATGTCACTCAAATATGAACGGAACGGGGACGTGTCATTGACAATGACTTGTATCTTATGTTTTGGTATTATTAACACAATCTATTAATTGTTAGTAATCATTATGCCCATGAAGTAATGACAAAGAATGCTAAACATGTTGCTCATTTAATGTTGAACTACTTAATACAAAATGAAATTCTCTTTCTTCTGCATCAGAAAAATTACAATATGTTTTATTCAAGCATGCACACTGCCAACTTGGTTTATACATTTGGCATATGTTGGGATCTCTATGAACACAATGGTTCATGTACACAACCAGTGTTGTGATTGGTGGCTTTGACTTTGGCATTTAAAAGATGAATCACATTGGGCTTGGACTATGTTTAACTTGAGTTGAGAGGGCACCCACTTCAATACTGAAGAGCAGCATGGCATTTGACTTTGATGTTTCTGTGAAGCCCTGTTTTTGACTCATCTTGTTATTCTTTCAAAGAAATATTGGAAATTATCAAAATGTTTTTGTTTAGTTCACTTCATTAAGAGAACATGTGTTGATGTAATATTCCACTGTTATATTTTCAAATAACTGAATATTGAATATATCTGTGAAATGTTTTGATGTCTCTATTGCATGTATTACAAGTATAATATATATAAACAGAAGTAGAACTCTCTAAAGTATAAATAGTGGACAGAACTAAGTACATGTGCTATTTATAGACTCGCTTAAAGAGTCATGCATGCATATCAAATTATATAGTGTTCTCGTGCCTTGTCTATTGTTCCTCATCTATTGTTCCTCATCTTCATGTATTTCCATTTAACATTTATTGAACAAAAGGTGCAATTGTGAACACATTCAAGCTTCAAGTTCATATTCATGGTGTAAACTTACTTTGTACTGTGTATGGTGAATGAAGTTAACTGAAATATGGTTCTTTGCAGGGTGTTATTTGTCTTGCAGCCGATACTGAAAATGAAAGAGAAAGATGGGTAGAAGTACTTCGTCAGTCTGGTAGAGTGTAAGTATACAAGTGTATAGTCTTACTGTATTGGGTCTTGCTGGATATAGTCTGTGGTCTTGTGGGGTGTAGTCTGCGATCATGCTGGGTATGGTCTTAGTGGGTGTGATCTGTGGTCTTGCTGGATGTAGTCTGCTTTTTTGCTGGGTGTGGTCTGCAGTCTTGCTGGGTGTGGTCTGTGGTCTTGATGGGTGTGGTCTGTGGTCTTGCTGGGTGTGGTCTGTGGTCTTGCTGGGTGTGGTCTGTGGTCTTGCTGGGTGTGGTCTGTGGTCTTGCTGGGTGTGGTCTGTGGTCTTGCTGGGTGTAGTCAGGGGTCTTGCTGGGTGTAGTCAGGGGTCTTGCTGGGTGTAGTTAGGGGTTTTGCTGGGTGTAGTCAGGGGTCTTGCTGGGTGTAGTCAGGGGTCTTGCTGGGTATAGTCTGTGGAATTGCTGGATGTTGTTTGTGGTCTTGCTGGGTGTAGTCAGGGATCTTGCTGGGTGTAGTCTGTAGTCTGTGGAATTGCTGGATGTTGTCTGTGGTCTTGCTGGGTGTAGTCAGGGATCTTGCCGGGTGTAGTCAGGGGTCTTGCCGGGTGTAGTCAGGGGTCTTGCTGGGTGTAGTCTGTGGAATTGCTGGGTGTGGTCTGTGATCTTGCTGGCTGTGGTCTTGCTGGGTATACTCTGGTCTTGTTGGATGAGGTCAGTGGTCTATCTGAATATATATGTTGTCTTTCCGGGTGTGGTCTGTGGTCTTTCCGGGTGTGGTCTGTGGTCTTTCCGGGTGTGGTCTCTGGTCTTTCCGGGTGTGGTCTCTGGTCTTTCGAAGTGTGGTCTGTGGTCTTTCTGGGTGAGGTCTGTGGTCTTGCTGGGTGTGGTCTGTGGTCTTGCTGGGTGTGGTCTGTGGTCTTGCTGGGTGTGGTCTGTGGTCTTGCCGAGTGTGGTCTGTTGTCTTGCTGGGTGTGGCCTGGCTATTTCTTGAATGTGCATGTATCAGTGTATTTGAGTAATTTACACACATAAATGATAGTACATGTATTATTTGTTGTCTTATCAATCCGAAATGTTAAAAATCTAATTTTTGACTTAAGTAGATAGAAATGTATATATTTGTTTATGTGTTTGGATGATTGAATCAAGGTTATTTTTCTTCTTCATTTAATTAGTCATGTGTCATAATCGTTTTCATGTCAGATGTGGCTTTCTCTAATCTGTTTCAACCTACTCCAAATAATCAGTTATTGTTAAGTGGATTATTCACTTTGTGATGCCGTATTTCATAATCAATAGCATTCCATTTGTAACCGACTTGGCAAATCCCCCACACCAATCAGATGTTCTTTAGGCTTTGAACCATGAATGTACTTTAATTTTAGTAAGTACAATCACAAATACACATCATCTAATAGTAAGAGAATTTATTATACAACCTAGACAAAAGAAAGCATGGTTTTCCCTTGCCATAATGATGCATTTAATTTTACCTGTACAAGTACATATACCTGTAACATGGTCGGGAATCCTACTGAATGGTATTTAGAGTTCACATCTGGAAATTCAAAATTTTTTAATTCTCCCTCCCCCGATAATTTTTAGCTTAAAAAAACTGAACAAATATACACAAATGCTAATGATGTTCCATGTAAAGTGATACTTCAGTCAGCTTACACTTGGAAAGTAGCAATTTCATAACAACAGTGCACATACCATCACTGTGTATTTTATCCAGGCTTAGAGCTTATAGCAACTGAAATATTTTCAACCAAGAGTTCAATCAACTTTTAAGTATTTCCCAATAGTTTGAGCAAAAGCAGACATGATCTAAATAAAGAAGGTGGGGCCAGTTTGTAACTGAAGCCATAACTAGTCTGTGAAGTCATAAGTAAATACACAGTATCCCAGTGCTGCCCGCTGATATGAGGTCACTGTAAATGTATTGAACTTAGCAACATGCATACTATACCTGATTGTAGTGTGTGAGTAGTAGTCAACGTATTACCATAAACACGATAAATTTAGGCATTTCAGTCTTTCCTGATGTCTTTATTAGAGTTCAATTTTCACAGTCACTGACCATTTTAATGTTCAAATTAATCAAAATCAAACATTGTTGTCATTTTAAAGCCAGATCTCAGTTGTGTATGGATGGATTTCATCCAAACTTAGGACATACATTGAACATACTGACATCTTGATGCACAACATTTTGTTTTTCAGATTGGATTCAATATGGCTGAATGGCAGCCGTTTTTAATCTCCAATTTGATATACATGAAGTCTGAAAACAAGGACTTACCATTTCATCTTCATGCATTCGTCTGTGTCCGTCCATAGCTGTATTCTCAGACACGCCTAGGCTGATTTCATTCAAACTCCATTCTATACATATGGTCATATGCATTTGTTTCATGATCTAATTCAAGATGGCCAAATGGCAGCCATTTTAATGTTCAAAATCAAGAATTTGGCAGTCATATATTGCACTTATATTCATTTTGTTTGACAATCAGATTTAAGATAGCTGAATGGCTGCCATTTTAATGTTAAAATTCATCAAAATCAAGCATTTCTGCCATTACAGACTTTTGGTTATACATAGACAACTATTGTTATCTTGGTACATACCGTTAAAGTCCTAATATAAACCGCTTACGTAATAGTAACCGCACCCCCAATTCCGGCTTCGGGGTTAAAGAGTTCTTAACAAAAATCGAAAACTTGAAAAGTACCTATTACTAACCGCACCCCCAATTCAACAAGACCGTGACTTCATTGTTTCAACCAGCTGTTCCAAAACGGCATTGTTCCTAATCCTATTCATTTGTTTCCACAACATGCCTAAAAATATTCACACCTATTTATTGTTCAGCGGTGATAAGATGTCAAACAGGCAATGAAACTGCTTTTGTTCTGGCGGCGACCTCTGTCAATACTCTTTCTGAATACGTCTGTGTTTCGTAAGTTTTAGACAATGAGCTTTTATCACCGTAAAAGTGTTAAACTGAGCATTGAAGAATAATTTATCTTTCGAAAACAAATAATTTCTTGATTTAAAAAAAAAATCATGCCGTTTTCCCATGGAAATCAAAGGCAAAAGATCGCACTACATTATCGGTAAATCTCTTCCGTGTTGCGTTCACCATGAGGTCGCTGAACTGTCATTAACATATTTAAATGAGCTATGTAATTTGAACATGTGGGCACCATCCAGCATTTTAATTGGTTAATTAGCGACTTGACCTATCCGGTCAATAATATGTCATGTGAGCATTCAAAAACATGGCGGATATCATATCGGCTGTTTACATGTGACTGAAATCATTTGCTTATGGGGAAACTAAGTTGAATTTTACTTGCAATATATAACAATTCAACGAATTTATTTTCCGTGCGTTATTGTAATCACTACTAAATAATAATCACCAATATCAACACTTCGAAAACAAGTAAGTTATTCACTTGTGACCCGTTATGTGATCATTTGCTACTAAGCAGTGCATTCGTGTTTTTATTTGAAACTTCTGTTAGAATATACTTTTCGTCACCAAGAAAATTAAAAAAATAAATGCATATTACATATTTTTTGTATCATGTGGAATTTTTTTTTGATTGACTGTAATTTTTCAACATTTCGTAACGCCTATTTTAGAACCAAAATAAGGCCTTTCACTCTTCCCCGACGCCTATTCAAGAGATTGTACGGTGTATTATTTGTTTTGTGCATGTGTTGTGGACAAAAAATGACCACGCCCATTTAGTGATTGCAATATGTACGTAATAGAAACCACACCCCGAACTTGAGCTTTTGATCCCAATGTTTAAATTGATACATTGTAATATAAACCGCGGTTTATAACAGGACTTTAACGGTATATTGAACATGTACCGTATTTATCTGGGTAAAAGATGGGCCTGGGCAAACGCCCACCCCCCGCCCCCAATTTTGATACAATAAAGAAATTGAGGTCATGTCCAGGCATATACTTGTAATAACAAAAATAACAAAAACCTATTTTTTGTTCGTTGTATTAACAGTTGACTTCCTTGAAGTCTTGTGATTCTGATAAAAATTCTTGAAAAATAATTTTCAAAATAGCTATGACAGCAAAATAGGTAATTTCACTTGCTGCATTCAGGGCAGAGTGTTCACTGCTGTTTACTTAATTTACATTTATTTTTCAAGATTTGTTATCAGAATCATAACAGTCAGCAAGTCTACAAAAATATATATTAAAGCAGAAACGGTAGTTAGATCTTTTTTGAAATATGTTGTGGCCCTGGAATAGGCTGGCCATTTGATTTGTGCTTCCTTAGAAACGATTCAAGCAAATCTTACAGTTTATGGAGCACTGCGAAGCAATTGTCGCATTTGTTTGGCTTTAGCATCATCGACAATGAAACCAATGTTGCAATATTGTCGCATCCATACCTCATACCTGGAAGAGTGGTTGAAATCATATTATTTTGGCTTTATAAGATAAAGCAGCTTGCGAATTCATAACTGGGGCCAGCAATTTTGCAATGTCATGCTGAAGACTGCCAACTTTTTTACCATCTTTCATCACATCTATTGCATTTCTGTCATGAAAATTCTTCTTCTTTCATTGGTGAAAAAAATTCTTCCTATCTCAAGGCCACCGGGAATATCCATATAGCAAGACATTCTAATCGCTGGAATTTGCTAACTTGATAACTTTCACCATGATTGATGAGCGTCTAGTCTGATAAGAAAGCAATATTGACTTGACCTCTATAATAAAAACTGGAGTATTGATGTCATTCTTAGCCAATCAGTAAAGCAGATGCTTAAAGGTCAAAGGTGATTGACAGACTGTAAACAAAAGCATCGTGTGCCATTGCAGCAGAGATGTTTTCTGCAAACCCATACTTCTAATGTTGCATATTGTTCATTTATTTGTGTTGCATGTTTCTATTAGCCGTTCTATTCCCTGACGCTGTTCGATCTGCATGTTGTCAATTTTCATGAATTTTTGTTCTATTTTTTGCAGAGGATGTCCGGGCATAGGCCCACCCCTATATTTTATCAATTTTCCATGATCAGAACCCTGGGCTCTTACCCTTAATGTTTTTTCAGATCAAATTTAAAATAGGCAATAAAGTTACTGATTGCAATCAAACATTACAACTACATTACCAAAAACTAAATGTCATTTCTTTTATTTTCTGATTCAAAAGGCTGACTTATTTTATTTTTGTTTACTTTTGAACCAACAGGGACTCTGTCATGCCGTGACATGACTTGTCTCCAAAGAATGTAAAAGTTGTGTTGAGTGAGTCAGTTTTATTCCATGCTGGTATCAAATGTTTATCTGAGAAGCAATTCCAGCAGCTGTCAAAGATCCCTCATTACTATAAACTTGTGTATACAATGCAGTATGCCAGTCTACATGAGACTCTACCAGACTGGCATTTGTAATGATAAGGTCACTATTACATTTGTGATAGCTATGTAGGGATGTGACATTATGCATACTGGGGAAAGCCTGGGGTGATTTGCTTTTCACTATTTACCAAAATACTGGTCACACTGAAAATATAGCATTGCCATCATAGTCCTATAAAATGATGACCCTAATGTAAATCTTTTGAGATTACTACAACGTATCTACCGGTAATTGGATAATTGCACTTGTTGTCCGTTACGTGACTGCCCACATACGCGACACTGTACATCATGTTATATAGTGGAATTTGTCTATCAGAAAATGAACTTCTGTGGCATGAAAAAAATCACATGATTGTGGCAGATGTTATAATTGGTACATTCCATCATTTCCCTTGAGTTCACCATACCAATCAAACTTATGCTAGAGGTAACATGTCAGACAGATGAAATATAATATTAGTGTTTATAATTATTAGACTCTCTTTGACCCAATATTTGCATTTCTGACAATATTTTATGTTATATGGTGTGTTTCTTGATTGAAGATTTTTATTCTCACAACAACTAGACATTTAGATTGTACTAAGCTTTTAACTTGAACAAGTTTTCAAGTAGATAAGTTTGTTTATGCTTGAATGGAATGTGGTGTCTTGTAATCTGTATTGCAAGCAGTCATTATGTTCATATGTATATGTTAGTTAATTCTTATCAGTTATATAATCTATCATTAAAATGAGAAATACTTGTTTGTATGGAGAGGTACCCGGTATTTGGTCTTGTTAATTAATGTTTGATTAATTCTCATTAACTGACAGCTGCATATACATTTTCAGAACCTGGAAGAATGCTCAGCTTGGAGACACTATGATACAAACACTAGAAACACAGGGTTTACAGTTGGCCAAAGAAAGTCAAGATTACAAAGACAGATTACACACAGAAATATGTGCACTACGTGATGAAATGGACAGGAATGAGGTATGCACGTCCTTTCAGGGATTCTCCATGATTTTATTATTCCCTGCGCGTTGGTGGGATAGGGGTGAGGGGTATAGTGGTTACGAGTGTATGTCTGTACAAAGTCATATCAGGAACACTATTGCATATATTGCATTGGTTATTTTGGTTTAGTTTATTTTATTTTATTTTTATTTTTAGACGACCATAGAACAAACAACTCACTGTAGTTGGTTTCAGTGTTGAATAAACATTATTATTACTTTATATAGAGAGTGTTTAATAAAGATATTGCACCCTAGATCTGATTAACATAAGTCTTGACCATACATGATAATGTTGATGTATATATTTCCCCAGGAATTAGAAAGGATAGCAGCTGAATTAGAAATAGAAAAAAAGAAAATTGAAGAAACTGCAAAGGAAATGCAAAATGACCTTGAAAGGAATAAACTGTAAGTGATGATGTTATATTATATAATACAAAACAATTTTATTTATTTATTATGCTGTATTAAAAAATAATTCATTTTTAGCTGGGGTGTAATAAATGAGAATGAAAAAAAGAATGTAGAATGCTGTGTAAAATAAACTTGGAATATTGGGGATACATGTACTTTATTTTATAATATGAAAATGTACATGTTGAGAATGCGTAAATATTACTTTGTTTTAATAAATTAGTCGGCCATGTTTCCTCTTTGTTCTTACTTCTTCTGTTCATTCTATGCTTCCTGCAATGCATATTGTTCAGGGTTTGAACTTCAAATAGCCATGATACTGCATGTACGGTAATATTGAATGAATTCCCAATAGTCTGACCACATACTATCTTGCCAGTCTGCGTTCTAACAGCAGTGAAGCCTGAGTCAAAATGAAATCCCTGAAAATCAAGTTGTTAACAGATTGTTACAAGCCAGAAATACTCCTAAAAAAATATCCCTAAAATTCACAAAAACAGTTGCTACTCATGGGTTTATAAAACATAGTGACATGTATCTTGCATAGAATCTACTCTGTAGTATGGTAGTGGGATGCATGTAGGCAATATATCATGCTCACATATTAATAAGTAATTATTTCATGTATTTATTGTCTACAGGGAATTGGAAGAGACTGTGCAATTGATGAAACAAGTTGAAAATGACAAACATAGTTTGAACAGAAATAATGATAGGTTACAAGACAATTTACAGGTAATATTCATTCATTATAAATTATGGTGATATTGCCTTGCACCCCATCGTAGTAGGTGGTGGAATAACACTATTTGCTTTGCTTTTCTGTTCGGTAATCAACAAAATTCAATTTTTTTTATTCTTTTTAACTCTAAGCTTATAATATAACTCATTGTGCAATGTCCAGCATCAACTTTTTATAAATGAAAATTTATTTTTGTTGTAAAAGTGCCTTGGGATGACCTTACTGTCAGGGACAAACTATTGGTTGCCCTCACGCACATATAAACTTCAGCTTTGTCAGCATTGATGTATGAAATAATATGTGTCACATACCACTTGCAACAGTTACTATATTAACATTATATCATGGTCTTGCTAATGGCTAATTACCAAGCATTTCGAAATGAGTGAGAATACATTTATATAGCCTGCCCGCTTAAAAAAAATTCTATGAAATGCATTTGTTCATCTTACCTTGTTTAAAAAACACTTTCTTATTTCTAATTATTTTGTAGTTGCTTGCAAAAGAAAAAGAAAAGACTTTACAAGAACTACAACACAAGGAATTGGTCACAAAAAAATTGTCAAGTGAAAACCAGTCACTGAGTCAAACCACAGAGTCCTTGAAATCTACATTGAATAGGATAGAGGAAAAAACCAAACAACTTGTAGATGAAAAAAAAAATACTGAAAAACGGTTAGTAGTAATTTGATGTGTAATTGTGGTTCTGGATCAGCTGTTCATTACCATGACAACAGACTGTAAACACATTAATTATTCACTGTTTTTTAATTGTGCTATTTTCATTGATTCACCAAATTAATACACATGAACATATACATTGTTTACCTGCAAGGTTTGCGACCTTAAAACCCAGTGAAATTGCTCAAAATAGTGAAATTAATGCCATTGAGAAAAAAAGTGTTTTTACAGTAGTAACGTGTGTACTTGCAATTAATACTTTTATGGAGTCTTCTAATTACTCTGCTGTCCAAAACTCAGGACATTTATTCTGAACATACTCTGTGTTATCAGTTTTGAATCTCTGCTTAGATCTAGTTACAAAATATTAACAAAATATTAATTCAGTTGATGATAAAATATTACGTGATTGTTAATACTAAGGTAATGGTTGTGGAAATGAATTTATCATTTTTTATGAAGATTTGCGTACTCCAGCACAACAATTATTCATCTTTCCACAGAGTTCCCCATGTGCTATTTGAACAGCATTCTGATCAATAGCAAGGCATGAGCTCATCACAATACTCCGCTGTTAGTAAATATTTAGTCTGAAAATGTACTTTTGATACTTAGTATGTGCGTCTTTGATTGATTATATTGTGAAAAAGAGCCGCTCTTATTTTATATCATTTGGCAAGTCAAAAACACTGAAAAATTCATATAGAAAACAGCGTGGAGACCACCGCATATTGTTAGACTATGAACAATATTCAAATGTTTGATTCTGAAAAATTGCTTGAACTTTAATACTATAAACTGCTTTAATTTGAAAAAAAAAAAAACTAATTTTTTTGTGAATTTTATGACCTTGCAAATGACATTAAATCAAGAACATTCCTAGCAGTGAAAATTAATTTGTTTACAGATGAATGGTTTGTGAAGACTCTAGATGTAAGCTAGTATTATACCATGCTATTTTGTCTAACCATACTTATTCCTATTCTCACTTTTATTGAAGAACAGACACCCAGGTTTCAGGACTCTCTACTGAAATGTTCCCTGTAGAGCTAGTTACCCACCTGTCTATAACTTTTATGCATTTTTTATTTCTATAACAACTTTCAGTTTAAAGGAAAAAGAGAGAGAGGCTAAAGCTTTAGATGAAGAAAAGAAATTGTATGTTGTACATGCACAAGAACTTCAGTCATCATTACATGTAAGTTTATCTGGCGTGTTAGCGCCCTCTGTGGACAAAATGGAAAATAATGAGGGCGCTGTCAAACAATTAAAGTCTGTTTTTATTTCATTCATTGTTTTCTAACAAAAGGTTCAACACATCTATGAATATTTGTTATTATTAAATATGCCGAATAAAACCTGATCAATTTTAGGCAGAGGGTAAAATAAAACAACACAGGATGAAAACTTGTATTGTTATTTTACAGGATTTAACAATACAGAAAGAAATGACAGATAATGAACTAAGAGAAGAAATCATAGCAAGACGAGAAGCAGAGAGGAGATTGAAAGATGCTGAAGCTGCATTAGCAAGATTAGAAATCGCTTTAGGACAGACAAGGCGTGATAGAACAAACAGTGTGGAAGTAGAAATTAGTCACAATGTAGCTACACTTAAAAGTAAGTTTACAATGTTGAGTTTCTTTTAAAGCTGGAGCTCCAGCTGGATACATGAATTCAACTGGGACAAAGTTTAATCCTATTTTGTACCTACATGATAATTGTTTGTTGTCTGCTGTTCCTGTGCATACTGACGATAAAACAATACCATAGTGCAAGTTATGATTTTGTCTGAATGAACTACTGTCAACTGCTTTAATTACGCAAAATCTGTGAAAATCGCTAAGTTTACTAGCAGTGAAATTCCTCTGGGCTTCTACGACATAGTGTCAGTGACTTTTGGAAAAAAATTTCTTCACAAATTAACAAATTATATGAACAATCCTGAATCAAAAAATTTATATCAGCGATAGAAAATTAAATGATGTAAAGTATGTATTATACCGGTACATTTGTTTCATGGGTCCCATATCCAATGATTGAATAAAAATGCAAGATATAGTTTAATGATTTGAAATCAAGACAAAGAATTTATTTATTTTTTAGATAACACTCAACATATGCAAAGACATTTACACTGGTAGTGTACAGACCCGCCAGAAAGTATTTACGCACCACACTACATGCAGTTACTACCTATGATATGATACAATAAAATAAACTCAATAACAGTTTGAATAAATATATTTATATAAAAACCGGTCACTGGTAGCATAGTGGTTGTCGCATCAGACTCATGATCAGTAGACCCAGGTTCAAATCCTACCTTAGGCTGAACATCACATACAAAAAAAAAAGTCAGGAGAGACAACAGTGACACTGAATGTCCGGAACTGTCGCCTGGCACAAAAAATATTTTAAAAAAAATATATATTTATATATCTAATAGAATATGCGTTTTTATCCACAATACAAACAACAAAATTGTCATTGTCATGCAAGATTGAATAAAAACGGCAGTCTGAATGAAACAGTGAAAAAACGTTCAAATTCTCTATGGAGAATACCATGTAAACGCAAGCTCATGAATATAGAACGCAACGATTTTCAATAATGAGTGTGTCCACCTTGTTGCTGGACAACTTCCTTAAGCCATTTTGGCATGGTATCGACGAGTTTCCAACACATCTTCACCTGGAACTGTCCCCAAGCTTCCATTATACTCGCGTATAAATCCTCGATGTTAGCGACTGGTCGGGAATGCACCTCTAAATCGATCACTTCCCAGAGGTTCTCAATAGGGTTCAAATCTGGAGACTGTGCAGGCCAATTCAAAGTGGTAAAGTTGTCAAAAAGATATCCGTACTTTTGTGGATTATTTAAAAAATCCCTCACTGCCAATGCTGTGTGAACGGGGGCATTATCCCGTTGGAAATGAAAATTGGGTCCAACGAGTCTTAGTGCCGACGGTATCATTTCGTTTTGCAGAATATCCAAATATTTCCATCGGTTCATGGTCGTCGGTACACTGACTAGCGACCCTAAGCTGGTAGCCGAAAAACATCTTCACACCATGACGCTACCACCACCAAATTTTATTGTAGGTTTAATGCATTTCAGCTCGTACTCTTCACCTGGTCTCCGACGTACAAATAATCTTCCACGGCTACGAAACACCGTAAACTTTGATTCGTCCGACCAGATATCTTGAGCCCACTGCGCCGGAGTCCAGTTGATGTGTTGTCTGGCAAATTGCAACTGCCTTGCGATGTGGCAAGGTTATATAGTCTTGATTTTTAGCTCCGCTGTTGACTTTGTCAAGCTTATCATATGAGTGATTGTCCGTCGTCGTCCGTCGTCGTCCGTGTCAATGTTTTACTTTTTCGACTTCTTCTTGAAAACTACAAGCCTGAATGCTTTGATACTTGGTGTATATGTACCTTGGGTAGACCTCTCTTAGGTTTGTTCATTTCATGTTGATATCTTCAATTCTCTAATTTTGGTGAATATTTTTATCATTTTTGGTAAAAAGTGATATTTTCGACTTCTTGTTAAAAATCACAAGTCCAATTGCTTTGATACTACATATATAGGTACTACATGCGGACCTCTCTCAGATTTGTTCATTTTGTGATGATATCTTCAATTCTCTAATTTTGGTGAATATTTTTGTAATTTTTGGTAAAAAGTGATATTTTCGACTTCTTGTTAAAAACCACAAGTCCAATTGCTTTGATACTACATATATAGGTACTACATGTGGATCTCTCTCAGATTTGTTCATTTTGTGATGATA